TATATATATAGACAGATAGATTTAGATATAGTGAATAATAATTTTATAAAATCTTAACGATATATTTTAAAATATTATAATTATATCTATTTTTTTATTATTTATTTACATTATTATTTACAAATATTATTTAGAAGTACTGTAGCTTCCGTTTGTTTCACGTCTTACCTTGTTGAATGACAATAGAGTCTAAGCGGAGCTTCATTTCTGCACGTTCCACAATTCTTTCCTCCACTGTATTGTCTGTGATAAAACGGAACACGCGCACCTGTTTCTTTTGACCAATCCTGTGGGCACGATCCTGAACAAAGAAAATCCAATGAAAATGAATTACCACTCCATTCCAGAGAAGATCTGACGCTGCTTTTGGAGAGAAGGACTTTTTAATCAGTTCTGGCAAAGGGAGAAAAGCAATATGCTACACGAGTGCAAACATCAAAGCAACAACATAGAATAGACTTATAGAAAAAAGGTCAGTGTGCATAGTGACCATAGCCTGAAGATCCACTTGAGGATTCCAGTCCGAGTCGTAGATGATGACGACATCAGCAGTGGCCAGATTGATACCAAGACCTCCTGCTCTGGTGCTCAGCATGAACAGAAACTTCGAGCTGTTGGGCTCATTGAAGGCATTGATGGAGATCTGAGGAGATGAGGAGAATGTTATAGACTTTATCAATCAATCTCATTCGTTTGTGCTTATTTATTACCGAGCTGTTCAGTCATGACGGAAGGCCAATTCATATTTATGGCTGTCTGTAACTTGTGTTGTGCAACAAGAAAGTCTTGTTTTTAAAACACTTATGCATGCAAGTACTGTGTTAAGGGAGCATATCATGCGAAATCATTGTCATACCTGTCGCTCCTCATGAGGAGTCTGTCCATCCAGACGACAGTAACCATAGTTACGCCACATACAGTAATCCTCCAGAATGTCCAGCACCCTGGTCATCTGACTGAAGATCAGCACACGGGAACCTGCAGGAATAAAAAGAGGCATGTTAAAAGCAACATGTCAAGACATTTTAACATTTTCCCCTGTGAAGCATGTCTTGCAGTATGGTAGTCACCCTGTTCTTTCAGCTTCGGCAACAGCTTGTCCAGTACCACCATCTTTCCGCTGTTGACCACCAGGTGGAGGTCAGTGGTGTAGGGGGGACCAGGCTCCGCTCCATCAAACAAGTAGGGGTGATTGCAGCATTTCCTGAGCTGCATCAGCACACATATACATATATATATATATATATATATATACATATACAATATATATATTCCCACTTTTTTTGCTTTAATCTATTCTCACTAATAAATATTTTTATTATTATCATTTTCAATATTTAAACTATATTTTAAAAAATAACTATTTAAAATTTATACTAAATTTTTATACTAAAATACTAAAGTATTAGTATTTTATTAGTACTTTATACTAAAATTATACTAAATTTTGCTTAATATATTCTCTCTCATTCTAAATATTTTATTAACGTTCTCAATATTTATAATAAATTAATTAAATTTAAAATAAAAGAAAACATTATTATATAACTTTATATATAACTTAAAAAATACATTTAAAATTTTGCATTACAAAAATTAAGCCTGTTTTAGGACCACATATAATTTTCTTTTTTTATTTATTTAATTATTTAATTTTAACAAACATATTTTCATGAGATTCACCCACTGATTCATGCTATAAATGTCTAGATAGGAGTCAAAGGAAAATCAACTCACAGTATGTAGACGTTCCACCAGTTTTGTGTCTCCCAGACAGTTATTGGTGTCAAACCAAGAATCAAAATCCTGCACAAAATGGAAAGACAAAATGCATTCATAACCGGTTCAGCAGCAAATAGAGAATTTCAAAAGATAGACAAGATAGACATAACAACATGTGCATATGCCAGAGTTCTTTTGGCAGTACGCAAGAAAGAAGTGGCACCTCTGAGGAGTTGAAAACATCAGGCAGCAGGAAGTTCAGCAGTGCCCAAAGCTCATGGAGGTTGTTCTGTAGTGGGGTTCCAGTCAGCAGCAATCGATTTGTGGTCTTGAACTCTCGCACTATCTCTGAAAGCTGAGAGAGCAAACTTTACTAGTTTACTTTTAGACCAGAGGAAACCAGGGACTCACAATCATTCAGTAACTGACTGTGGTAAAATCATGCTGAAGACAGACCTTTGATTTCTCATTCTTGATACGGTGAGCCTCATCAATGACCAGGTATCTCCAGTTGAACTTTTTGAAGACGGCCCTCTCGATAATGAGCATTTCATAGGAGGTGACGCACACATCCCATTCTCCTGGCAGCAGTGTGTCACGGAAAAAAGCCGTCTGCAACCAGAAGTGAGTTATTAGATGACCAGAATTCATAAAAGTTGAAGAAAAAGGGTTCTTCAAGTCCTAATTCACAATAAGATCAATGGAGACCCCTACTTACTCTTTCATCTCTGTCACCGATGAGGCAGACAGCACGTAGAGAGGGAACCCAACGCTTGAACTCATTCATCCAGTTATACAGGGTGGATTTGGGCACCAAAACCATGTGAGGTCCAGGAATGTTTCTATAATGCTTCATGTAGCCCAGCAGAGAGATGGTCTGTAGAGTCTTACCAAGACCCTGATGGGACAAGAGAAGACAAGAGGTGCGAGACATTTGTAATGGACACAGATTAAAACCAGATTCTGACTGCTGAAATATTTTACAGCTGAGAGACTCTAGGAGTTTCCATAACTTTTACAGGCTTGGAATCAACAATTATATCCTTCAAACAATCTGATATTTCTATGTTTACTAATAAAAGGACAATGAATCAATGTGTGGAGTCATACCATTTCATCAGCAAGGATCCCGTTGATTCCGTTCTCATAGAGGGAAATGAGCCAGTTCAGTCCACGGACTTGGTAGTCTCTCAGTTTGCCATTTTTCACATCTGTTAACAAATGTTCATTGGCCACAATAAGCTTTCCTTGAAATTACTAAGAGGCCATTGACCTGATTTCATTTAAAAACACTGTTCTAGGTGTTTATAACAGAGATGAAGTGTTTTAATGTGCGTTTAACTCACAGGAAGGCGACTCGTCAAAACGTGTGCAAACGCTGGTGGCCTTGCTGCTCTCACTCAGCAGCTCCTCATCCTCCTCCTGCTCAGTCCGACGGTGGCGGTTACTTAAAAGGAACGCACAGTCAGTCAGCAGTGAGTGACTATCTGATAGACACATTACTAACACATGGAGCTGACACTATTGGAGTTATGAATGAACCAATAATAAATGCAATATTTAGGGCACCATGATTTATGGGGAGAACAAAAACCGTAATTGCAATTCTGATTTAAACTGTATTTTTAAAGTTTTGCTCTGTTTGTTTGTAAAGATGCACAGTTTGGCCAAAACTGTGTGACTGACTATACATATAATAAAAATATTATACAATACAAAAAAAAAATTCTAAGATAATTTGACTGTACAAAAAAAATTAAAAAGTAGTATTTAAGAAAAATACTAATAATATTCACAGTAAATCTTGTAACATCATGTCGTTATTGAACTGACCTGACTCAAGCTGAATAACAAAGCTGCTTTAAAACAATCTGTATTGTATGAAGCATTATAGAAATTAATGTGACTTGACTAAGCCATATCGCGATTTTATTTTGATTTTGATTAATCTCATAATTTTAATAACATAAATTTGTTAATAAGTGGTATCACTGGCAGCACGATTTTTATGTAGAAAACAAATGGGAAAAATACTTTTGAAACCAATTCTGCTAGAAAAGAGTGGGCAAACTCACTCTCCAGCAGAGAGCAGGTTCTGTTTCTCGTCTTTTTTAATGCGAGGGCGGCCAGGCTTCATCTTCAGAGGAGAAGTTGGGGTCTTCTGGGCAGCTGGTTGGATGAAATGAGCGAACAATTCGGTCTGCTTTAGGAGGTAATCGAATCTGTTGGTCCGGTCTGTTTGCTGTTGAAACAAAGCAGTAGAAGTCAACAATACACACAATGTCACAACAAATTATGGGTCAACATTCTTGCATAACTGTAATACGCATTTATAACTCAAGTAACTTTGATTGTTATGGAAGGCTAAATGCATTACCACTTTTTCTTCATATCCACCCGGCTGGTCCTTTTCCTTTGCCGAGGGAGGTGATGGCGACTGCGCTTCACTATCCATTGCGGTATCCGACGCTTCATCGTGACCATTTTCTGAAGCATCATCCTTAAAGAGAAACAATGATGTAATTTATGCTTGAACTGCTGGAAAAAAAATATAAAAGGCAAGATTGATGGACTGTTTCTTATCCTGTTTTGACATTTCCTATGAAACAGGAAGTTTGTGAAGAAACTGAAGTAGTGACAGATCCATTCTTCTGTATTGTGATGTACATCTAATCAAGTTATGACATTTTGATTTAGAAAATACTGAGGTCAAACTTTAAAAAAAAAAAAAGAAAATACATGGCTGAATCGTTCACAATAAGATCTATAACATGCATTTAGAAAATAGGTTATAACGTTTAATTGCATGCAGACTTTAAAGGAAAGGAAAGGGATATTTTCACTCAAGCAGCATTTGATTGGACAATATTTTGCATACGCCCATGAGGGCTCGATTACTTCATCTACATTTTTAGTCTGTTTTCTGAAAACTAAAAATACATTTTAAATGCCTACATTTGATATTTGTCAATTTTAACAATTACACGAGCATACAAATGACCTCAACATATCAACACAGGTTTGGTAACAAAATAGGAAAGCTTAACCTGAAGATTCTTATGCAAGTATTGTTCTTTGACGACCGTTACCGCTATACTAGACGTTCAATCGGAACTTCACTTTAATTCAAATATTAGCTCAGTTTAAGAACGCAGTTACTAAAAGCAGCACACTGATTTAAAAATACGTCTAAACGACAACCAAGTATAACTTTTGTGGCATCGCAGCGTTCCGGTGGCGGGTTCAGAGTCGACGGTTCCTGTTCAGACTCGCACCACAGGAACGTCACATGAAAACCCACAGAACGGAACATTTATTTTGAATTAAGTCCACAAAAAGAAGAGAGCAAATGGATAACTGGAGCTCAATCCATACAAATCTCTGCCTGACCGATATGTAGCGAAACGTGGTCAATTTAAAGTAATGTTACCGTTCTTAAAGTAACAAAACATCAACACCATTGATTGTCATATTAAGTTTATTCAGACGACAACAACATATCAAACCGGCCATCTCTCTAACCCTATCCCTAAATCTGCCAATTTGCCAGTGTAAAAAGTGATCAAATGTTGTTATGAGTGTGAAAATGGACGCCGATGTGCTCATCTATTCATCTGAGCAGAAACAATAACGTTACATGCTAACAAAAACTTTTTCAGAGGCGCGCTCAGATGGTTCATCGGCGCTTTGTTTCCAGCGCCATCAGTCTGTGTTTTAAGGTCCCAAATAAGCTGGTATGTAATTATAAGTGGGATATGATGGGAAAGAAGCGCTCACCTCTGCCGGACTGGCCGAGTCTAGTTGGCTCGGCTCTTCCCGCTGCTGCTGCTCCATGCTGCTGTCTGTTTGGGACATGATGGGCTGGCTAATTCCGTTATTTCGCTATGGACACGAGTAATTCCGTTTAAAATAAGTATATAGGTTTGATTGGGAAGTTTCAAACTATTGCCCAAATAGAGCAAGCACACCAGGCGTCATCCACGGCCCCCGGCTTTTCTGTTGACACTGTTCCCGCAAAACGGGCCCGCCACAGACTATCGCGAGATTTCAGACGTGTGTGACGTCATTCGTACACTAAAAGGGAAATGCAAACCAATCTGCGCTTGCAAAATTCCACATTACAGATGCACATATTCACACTCCAGACCTCTCTCTTGCTGAAAGCCCGGCAGACTCAACGCGCTGTCCGGAATGGCGTCTTTCAGCCAGGTTTCCGTGAAACACAGAGCAGCAGAGTTTGAAAAATCCTTATTTGTCCGGGAGAGCAGAAGAAGTTCAAATAAGGATTTTTCAAATGAAAGCATTTGAGCAATACCTTTCATTGATCCAATTGTCTAAGAACAAAAAAGCTTTAAAAACGTTATCTGTTTGTAACTCTTCTTTAATGACATGTAGCCTAAGCCTCGAATTGTTTTTTTTCTTTCAGTTTATTATGTATTAAACACCCCCTTTTTCTTTTTTCTTTTCTTTTCTTTTCTTTTATTTTGTTGACATTGTCTATCATTTTTATTTGCTGATGGTTGTTTGAGCATTAATAATAAAAAAAAATAAAAAAAATAAATCTGCGCGTTTATTACTTTCTTACAAAATTTTACATTCATTAATTTAAAAAAAAGATATATATATTTTATTTATATTAATTTTACATTTTGTTTTATTTTCATAAAGGTGTTGATATATATTTGAATTCTTAAAAAAAAAAACTCTAAAAATCCACTTGCTTGAAAGACATTTTAGTTCATTTAATATATTTCATATGATATACATTTACATTAACATTTAGTCATTTAGCAGATACATTACAAATCCATTTGATATGATATAGTGTACTAATCATCTTATAATTATATTGTTTATAATATTTTTTGTTCTTTATACCGGTAAACAATGCTGTCTGTGCTGTTAATTCGTTAATTTTATTGCCACATATCTTTTGAGACCGTCCATACAAAAAAAAAGTTTGTAAGTCTATTTATCAAAATTTTCCTGGGAATGATTCTATTTTGACTTTTGACACAAATCTTTGTAGTTGCTAAAATAATACCTTATTCATATACTATAGTATTCACATTGTCATGTAAGTATGATAATACCATTATGCTTTTTGTTTTCTTAATTTTTTTTCTTACACCATAACAACTTTGCTATGTTTCCTAGTCAAGAAACCCAATGGAATGTGAACAGGATTCCTTTCCTGTCATAGAGTGAAATCAATTTCCTACATCCCAATTTTGTATATTTTTAACAAGATTTTTAACCAAAATACACCAACAGGAAGCTGGATCTTTCATAACACATAAACTGCAATGTAATGGTCACTTGTGTGCTGATCAAGCGCGCGCGGCGTCTCGCGCAGCAGAATCAAACGAGATCATTTTATAACACAGACACATGTTCCATATTCAGGTAAATGTTTTCTTTCTTTACGTAGTGCACGTCGAAATTGCTATTTTCAAAGAAAAGTAATGTGAAAAGTGCCGTTTAGTAGATTTGCACTCAGATTTCGATGTAAAATTACCGCTTTGTTTTTCGACACTAACGTTACCAGTCAGCGAGCTAAAATGGTTTGTGAGGCCTAACCGTCAGTTTCCTCTGGTCTTGATATTGAACAAGACGTACAAGCTTCGTGAAATCTATAATAGCCAACTGTCCTTAGCAAATACCTGCTGTTTTGCTTTTAGTGTGGCGCAGATGTGTGATATTAAACCTTTGGCCTTGTTAGCATGTTAGCGAGGCCGTGCTAGTTCGCCAACTAACCGGCCAATGCAACGTAAACGCACTGCGATCACTTTCATTTTCCAAGCATTTTTAGTTTATCTCGTCACTCTAAGAATTGTTTTCGGGGCAAAGGGGTTTTGTAAGATTCCTGGTTATTTGCAGTTTCCTGTAACATTAAATGTTACTGCAGTTTGCATCCTTAGTATTGGGAACAGTTTCTAAGAAGTGCTACATCTTAGTTGATAAAGGACCTGGATGATTAAGATTAATGTTCTCCAACACTGATCATGTTGGTTTTTGGTGAGCAGAAGCACAGTATGTGGCTACAGCAGCATCTTTCCTTAAGACCAGACGACTATGTTTTCCACCTCCATAGATCCCTCTTATTTTTTATGACATATTGCAAGTTTATATATTTAATCTGTATTGCCTCTGTGTTGTTTTGCAGTCTTTTGACGATGACTGCACCCTGGAGGAGGAGGAAGGGTTGGTAGAGGAAGAAGATGAAATTGACCAGTTCAATGATGACACTTTCGGTGCAGGTGCAATCGGTAAGTTTCCTTACACCTGGAATTATGAATTTACCCTACAAAACCTGCTGTATCATATTTGACACATGGATTTCTAATGCCTCTAAATTAAAAATATGATTAAAACCGTTGAAAAAAAGTTTTGTACGCAGTCTATTTTCTTCTATTTCTTCAGTCTTCATGCATTTTGATCACTGATTGATAGTTTGTGCTTTTTTTTAGCAAGTAAAAGGCATTTTAGTGTAATTGCAGAAACGTCCACCTTAAGGTTGTGGTTCACATGTCTTTTTGCTGTGAAATCTTTACTGATTTTTATAAAGTAAACATAAGAAAAGCATTTGTTTTGTTTTTAATATTTCACAATTTGAAGAAGAATATTTATTGGACTAAAGCATTTAGGATTACTTGATTAACCATACATTATTTTTTAGAAAAATCACGTTAAAATGTAAGGTTTATTGAGGAAGGTTTATTTGTCCATCTTTCAGTCATCATGCATTGCTTTATATGTTTTGCTTTCCACAATAAAAACTTCACAAAACTAAGCACTTAAAAATCATTTTACTAAGACACATCACTGGGAAATATAGTGTGACAACTGATATTTATTTGCATTTTATCTAAGTATGTAAGATCTCACTGATCAAAACTTTGTTACTTTTTGGTATAAATACCAGCAACTGCACCAAATTGCATTTTTTTGTTTAGTTTGGGCCTCTGAACGAAATTGGAGTGTTTGAGCTCCATACTCTCACTGTATCATAGTATATGAGCCATAAAAGCCTGATGTATCAGATATGATAGAAAACATATGCATACATTATGCATGTATTTTGTCTAACTCTAACGGTACACTGGCATATCAGATTGTAGCATCACCTCATGTGTTTTCCTCTCTAGATGATGATTGGCAGGAGGAGCATGCCCGCCTCGCAGAGCTTGATGTACAAGTACGAGACGGGCTGCATGGAGCAGGCGACGCCGCCTCTGTTGATCTCCCTCTCAGTGGCAGCAATGCCCACTCTTCGGCCCCCCCTCAACCCTCCTCTTCCTCCCCTCCTCAACCCTCCTCTTCCTCCCGGCTTTACCCTGACATAGATGAACGGGGTGGCGGTGACCTTGCGGAGTCACTGACTCGCCTCATCTTGGGCTCGGATCCTGCTATTGCTGGAGTGGGTGCCGCCAGCTCGGACAGATCTCACCTTCCTCTGATGCTGTCAGGTCAGACTCCTCAGCCCTCGGCATTAGCTGGACAGTCGTCTCTGCTGCGGAGCTACCAACAACAGCAGCACGTCATGCACAAAGGGCCGGCTCCTCTTTCACAGGTTTGTGTGATAGTATCACCATAATATTAAGCCATTATTGATATGAATTAGTTTGCAAATCTGTTTGTAAACATGAAAATGCCGTCATCAAGGTGTGGATTGCAGCAGGTAACTTTAACAGACAGGTATTTTAAGGGTGTGGCAATATGTTACATGTTTGCCACATGTAAAATAGGGCTGCACAATTAATTGAAATAAAGCCAAAACACGAATTATTGTATTGGAAAGACTGATTTAATTAAATATATTTGCTATATATTTCAGAGTGAAGCACAGTACTGTGTGCTTTTACATGAGCAACTCATAATCTGGTGTTTTCATAAATACCTTTTTTGAAAAATAGTTTTCTTATACTTTTCTTCAAATTAAAATTACAGTGGTAATATTTCTTGTTTTAATATTTTTATTTAGTAATAATAATTCTAATTGTTAAAGTTCTAAAAAATGTAATTTTTTTTTTTTTTTTACGTTTTAATCACCATTTTTATCAGAAAAATCACAATTAGTTTTTTCCCCCAAAATCGTGCAGCCTTAATGTAAAGCATTCATCAACTTTTAAATATTAACATCTCAAGATTATAAATAGTAGTCTACTTTTCAATCAAATGAAAGAAATGTCTTATAATTTAAATAAATTATATATAAGCGTAGTACATTTTAATGTGTGCATAGAATCATAACAGATATACAACAGATCCCGAAGCTGGGATTTATTAAACAAATATACATATTGCCATAGACATAATTACAGAAAATTACAGAGACCACTTTATTGGAACTTGATGCATGTTTTATATTCATTAGATTCAAGGAATCTTATGTTTTTTTTAAAGGGGTCATATGATGCTGCTAAAAAGAACATTGTTTTGTGTATTTGGTGTAATGAAATGTTTATGCGGTTTAAAGTTAAAAAAACACATTATTTTCCACATACTGTACATTATTGTTTCTCCTTCCCACATAGTGAGGTAGGTATGTGGGGGCGTGTTCGAACGAGCCGTTTTAGGTAGGTGTGGCTAACTCTTAACTTTTATAAAGAATATCTCTTTGGATTTGAGACTTTAGTCTTTGCAACTTTACAGATCTTCTTTATGCACCAAGAGCTTGTAACACTCTAAAGAGAAAGGAAAAAATGAAATCGCATCATATGACCCCTTTAATAAATAGCAATGAGCATTTGGAAATTGCAGGTTCGAATTGCGTTTTCTTCATTGTTTTTATGTTTAGTCTGCCCTAAATGCACTAAGGTGAATAAAATAGCGTTTAAACATATGTAGGAGCCTTCAGGTAAAATTAGCAGCATGCTTAGGTTTATTTTATGATGCGTCAAAGAAAACAATGCAGATATGTCACTGATATTTATTTTACTGATCTAAATATTCATTATAAATTGCCAATATTTCCCCCCCATAGATAAATTCTCACAGTATTTGGGAGAACAGTATGGGCTTCAGTCCTGTTAGTTCTGGACTACTCA